TGGCAGTTAGGGGTATGGATTAGTGATGGACTTGGTAGTGTTAGGTTTAGGGTTGAATTTGGTGATAAAGGTCTTTTCCAACCTAAGTGATTCTCTAATTCTGTGTAGTTTTCCTTTCTTGGCCTGATGGATCCAAACTCCTCCACCTCAAGATTATCAGGAGAGCATCTGGGTTTCCTTTGAAATCAGCACATGGGATCATATATATTTTTTTTTTTTTTTTGCCTAACAGTGCAGCATCTCACCCCACCTCTCACCAACAATCCTGGCAGTCCTGGATTTTTGCATCTCTTGCTATTCCAGGCAGCCCAGGCATACACACTTTGCACGTGTGCCAAAGCCAATAGTTTTTGCTGTTTCCAGCATGTTGGTGGTTGACTTCATTTTCTCTCTGCTTAATGCTTCACTGGTGTTTGGCATTGAGGGCTTGTTGTACAGAGTGTATATCCTAGTACAGAACAGGTATCATGGGCTGTTTAACCTGTCCTTCCTCATGAGGGACAGACATCTCTTTTCTGGACAGGAATTATCACCCTCTTCTGCTTTAACCAAGGCATCTGTGCTGATATATTACTCCTCCTCACACCCACAGGGAAGTTGGTGCTTCCCTTGCCAGTGGGCTTAGCTTGGTGGTTGGTTGCCTTGTCCTGAAGTCTACCTATCTTAACAAAACCCAAATGCATGTGTTAAATAGAAAACAAAGCATGCATGCCCACATTAATAACTTCAAATATGAGACTTAGAAAAGCCCTAAACCAAGTTACGTCCAATCCTAGTCAAATTGTTAGGAGACCATACACAATGTATTCATGTTGCTGCCTGTGTGGGTGCACCTCTTTCTCCTCCAAGAGGCCATCCAATTGGCTCTCTCAGATAGTCTGTGGCTGCTGAACCTCTTTTGTAAAGATCAGAATCACAGAGTGGGTTGGATTGGAAGGGATCACAGTGTGTCACCTTCTAAATCTGGTGCCACCCTAGAGCACATGGCACAGAATTGCATCCAGACAGTTCTTGCTTATCTCCACTGAGGGAGACTCCATAACCTCTCTGGACAACCTCAGAGGTTCCAGCGCTCAGTCACCTGCACACTAAAGAAGTTCTTCCTCATATTGAGGGGGAATTACCTGTCTACCCGTTTCTTCCCATTGCCTCTTGTTCTACTGATGAGAAGAGCCTGGTCCATCCTCTTGGCACCTGCATTCCAGCAGGCCAACCCCAGCCTGTGCTGGTGCCTGGGGTTATTCCTCCACAGGTGCAGGACTCTGCTCTGGCCTGTGTTGAATTTCAGACAATTCTTCCCTGCCCAGGTCTCCAACCTGCTGAGGTTCTTCTGAAGGTCTGCACGGCCCCCTGGGCATTGGCCGCTCCTCCCAGCTTTGTGTCATCAGGGAACTTGTTAAGGAGGCTTCTGCCCCTTCATCCAAGTCATTGATGAATAAGTCAAACAATACTGGCTGCAGTACTGAACTCTGTCAGATATCACTAGTCTTAGAAGACTTGAGAGAGATCTGTAAAACTAGGAACAGTTCTAAATGAGGTATATGAGTGTGCTTGTGAGAGAGCTTAGGCATGCTATGCAGTCTGAACCTCAGCCATGCTATGCTGTCTGAACCTCAGTCTATTCAGAAGGCACTGGAGAGAAACTGGGATTTCCAAATTAAATCTAAGTTGAGCACAGCTCTACTTTTCCCAGACTAACCTGCTGCAGCTCTCACCTTCTTTCTTGTTAGTACAACTGTTTATATTTAGGGGTGTATGAAGGGGAACAGCCAGTATCTTGTTCTACTGTAGTGTGAGGAAAATCTATTTAAGTGTCTGAGGAAGGAACTGCTGGCGGCAGGTGTTCATGAGAGATGTGTTCCTCTTCACCCCTGCGTCCCTGGAGGGGAATTCAGCAAAAAGGACCTGCATGTGGAGCACAGTCCATGACTTCCCCAAAACTATATAAACACAGCACAGACGCTGGTGGGCTCCGGTGTGCTGAGAGTCTGTCCCCCGGGTAGAAAAGAAAAGAGGCTTAGATTATGTGTTTATATATGTTTATATATGTTAACCTGTGAATTTTTCACCCTTTTTCTTCATACATAGTTTGTGCTGGATGTTTGTGGTTCATATATAAGGATTCTTTTAATGTCTGACTTGTTTACTGAAATTTTCAAGACAATGAGCAGTAAATAGGTGAATAATGAATGAATAACAGTAGTAGGTAGAAGTCCAGCATGCTTATCACCTACAGACTGTTGGCATCCTGCTGGCTGTAATTTGTCCACTTAAACTCTGACCTGGTAAAACCCTTGAACACATTTAGAAGTGTATGAATAATTCACTAAAAATATTTTTGTTGCTTTCTTGAAATTAGACATGTCACTAATTCCCTGTGCAGATGATGTGTTTACTCTCATGCTTATGAGCAATGCATCAGGCATCGCTCTCACATACTCACAGAAACGCTTTATCGCCGATGAAATATGTCACCTTCTTCCTTCAGCTGTATGTTTCATTCCTCTTGCTCACAGATCTAATACCACAGTGAATTAAATGTATTGATGAATCAGGACTGAAATCTACAGTGAATATGATTGCTTAAAAATAATTCCATCAGACGTAGTTTGGAGATGTCATTTTCTGTGGGCACGTATGCCCAATGTATATAAAGCACACGTATGTATATAAAGCAGCGTGTGGGAATGCGATGCTATTTAACTCGTAAATGGAGAGCAGAATTTTATTGGACACAGTAAATATTTGTTCAAGGAAAAGGAGTGTAGGTGAGAACAATCCATATGAAAAGAAAGCAGGTTAATACCCAGAACACTGAAAATATTTTTCAAGGACAGTTTATCCTTGTGGAAAATATGACCCCCCATAAAGCTGCTGAGTCTGTTTGCAGATCTTTTCAAAATAGAGTCCTTGCATTTGCCATTTTAGTTTGTTTTGGCTGTTGGTGTCCAAACTACATTCCTAGCAAATTGCATGAAGTGCTTATTCCATTATTTCAATTGTTATGTTTCTCAATAGAATGTGGTTATCTTTAGCTAGTGTCATGCTTTAGTACATTAGCACTAAAATGCACTGGTGATATTGCAAAGAGAGTGTGAGGCAGCTGACATTGAACTGGTACCTTGTACTTTGCCTCTGAAGATTCCTAAAACAGAGGTTGCTTTCAGCTTAAAATGAAGAAAGAATATTTGCATTTCTTCATAACCTGGTCTCCTCTTGTGAAACTGTGACCTGTGCCAGTTCATTTATGTTCTGCTCAAACTCTGTCCAGGTGCTGGGATGTGCTTGACTGGTCCTAACTGGTTTTTGGATGAGAAGTGCTCTAATCTGCTCTGCATTTTTATTTTGCATGGCTTCAGTTTTCACATAATGAGCCAGTTTTATCTGTCATGTGCACAGTTCTGCTTTCTTCATGTCCCAGTTCATAATTTTGTTACATGCCTGTTGTCCATAGAAAATAAAGGAATCACGGAACTGAAATTGAATTAGACTCAAAACGTGCTTGAGTTTCCTGTTTTTCTTGTATTAAAATACTTTTTCTATTGAGATCCATCATGCGGCAGTTTCCTAACCACAACCACAGGGACTGCGAGAGCACACTGAGTTTTGCCACACAGCAGAGGGAAAGGGGCAGATCTGGAAGTGGGCTGGGATGTGCTGGGCAGAGCAGTGCGGGAGGGACGCTGTCCTGCTGCACTGCAGCTGCCCTGCTGCTGCTGGACAAACGAGTTATTTTTGTCCTGGACACTGGCAATGACTAGGTTTGTGGTTCATCCCTTGTCCAAGTCAGATGTCACCCTTCTCTTTCATCCTCCTTCCCTGCTGTTTTTTCTGCTGGCCATTCTTTTCTCTCATCTCATCTTTTTTTCTATCCTGCTCCACTCCTTCTTTCACTCTGTCTTCATTTTCTCTTCTTTGTTAGCCAAACAGACCTATTGAAATATAAAGCCTGGCCTCCCTAAAGGGGGAGGATGTCCTTTTTCTTTTTAAATTATGCACCTGCATAGATGTTTTCATCATGTAATTGCTATAGTCACTATTGGGAACAGAGATAGCCCCTTTAAGACAACCACTAAAAGCCTTTTGATTTAAAATGATGTTTTCAGTTTTATGGCCTTTCTGTGCTTCTGGTAGTATCTTTCTGCAAAGCTTAAGTGGAGAGACAAAAGAAAGCAATGCAAGACCTGCCTCCAGCAATATTTCCACAGCCCTGTTACTGGGGACGGCTGCTCACACTGAAGTCACTGCTAGTAGAGCTCATCACTGAGTGCAAAATATATTCAAAAGTTGCTTTATTATAAGATTAAAGCTCTGTCATGAAAACCAGCAACATTCCTGGGCTTGTGGGAATCAATTCTACCACATTCCAACCCAGGATGTACTTCTGACACATTTTTTTTCTGTGGAAACACTCATAAATTTGACCATGGTACTTGGAGATGAGTTAGACCCTTTTGATTACAGGCCTTTTGAATCCACCCTCTCTCCTTCCTTTGTTCCAAGAAGGAGGTACTCTGTCTCTTGAGTCTTACATCCCTGAGTAAACTAAAGAATATTTTAGATATCTTGCTATTTGTTTTGGATTAAGTGGTGCTGTTTAGGGAGTAATGTTCTTTTTGGTGTGAATGGGAGGAGTGGAATTTATAGTTCCTGTCTCAAGAAAAAAGATGTTTTCACAATAGATAAAGAAGCAATTTTTTTATATGTAGGAGAGAGAGTCATGGTACACAATCAGAATTTTTGAAGCCTCCCAGTTTAAGGGAGCTGTGATTTGTGCATTGATAAAAGTCCCTATTCTTAATGGCAATAAGAGAAAAAAAAATCCTAATATCTCTCCCTTCTCCCCCCCTCCCCCCCCCCGAAACGTGATTATGTTAAATTTGCAATTATTTTACTTGTATTGACAAATTATTTAATACAGATTAATCAGATGCTTAATTTAGACACTAATTTGATGATCCACGCAACAGAGAAAGAAAGGCTGCTGATGATCCATTATCTCATACAGAAGACAAACACTGTTTTATTGAAGTGATTTGTGTGTTTTCTGAAGTCAAATATCAATACACACATGCCTTTCCTAAGTTTCAGCCCACCACTAAATGTTGGTGCACATTCTTGCACCAACATTTTGGGCTATTATACTATGCATAGTAAAATAACACAATCTTACACAACTAGGCAAAAGACCCTTCTTGTATTGAACAGTCATTTTCTGAAAGGTACTGAATTAAACCTTTAATTAGTATTGAATTTATGGCTAGGTGCTGTACCTTGAGTAAGCCCTAATAATGTTGCCATCTTCCAGTTTTCTTAGAGATGTAGTTTTGAGTTTATTTGCTTGTTTGCGGTCATGTCTAAAATTAACTATTTCAGTTATAAACCTAAGAAAACAAGGAGGAGTATAATCTCCTAATGGCACACAGCAGTGGCGCCTGCACTGGATATTTTAATGTGCTCTCTCTCCTTATTATATTTGTACCATGTTTTCCTTATTTGCTTTTAATATGGGCTATCAGTTTTCTCCTTAAAAGCCTCAGTCTGAAGGCTGTGCCTGTCGATTGTACCTGTTGTTCTGGGGGTCTTTTCTGCCAGCACTGTTTCCCCCTGCTGTCAAATCTCCCCCCATTTATTCATTCCTCTTGCTTAAGGCCTGTTTGACACTGTTGTAATGATTCCTCTTGGGACATGTACAATTAGATTTCTAAGTTCCCACATGGCTCCTGCTTTTTAATGTTTGCTCCTGAGTCAGCACTGTATGCATGACTGACTAGAATAGTGAAACTTTTAATAAATATCTGTTCTCTTCTCTGGATTATATTGCTGTTTGGTTGCATAGAAGAAATGTACCTCTGTAATGCTTCAGGAATCTCATACTCTCTAATACAATTAGGTTGTAGTATTTTGGATACCTAGTTTTCCTGTTTCCTAATCTAACTAGTACCTAAAGATTTTTGTTAGAAGTAGCCTGACTTTCATCAAAGCTTTATAGTTAAATACAACAGATGACATATTTTTGCTTTTTTTTTTTTTTATCACACAGCAGCACCCTTGATGGACAGTACAGGCTCTGCTTGAAGTTGCATTTGGCCATAAAATATGTGGCAATGTGAGACTAAACTTGTAAGCTGGTAGAACCATGATCTCATAGCTAGACACTGGGGTAAAATTAGCTTTGATCAAATTTACATTTTAGAGAGAGCAGGGAGAAATGCTTGTACCCTGCATCCTAAGAAAGGGAAGGTTATTTCAGGGAATCTCTAGAGTCCACAAATGCTTCTGGAGTTCAGGATCAAATTATTGCTTTCCTATGAACAGTCTGAGGAGTTAATGTTTTTTTTTGCTTCAGCCAGCCATGATGGGTTCAGCTCTGCTGTATGTGCAGGCTTGTATCCTTACATTATGTGTTGATAATTCTCATTCTGTCACATACTTTGGCAGAGAGTGATGCCATCTATCAGAACCTCTGAGCAATTATCTTCTTTTGGGCTGCATACCCTTAGTAGTCCGGGTAGCAATTACCCAATCAGAATATTTGGCAAATAGATTGCAATTCCTGTGGAGAAAGCATATGCAAGCCTGGCTCTGACCTGATTAACTTTCTTAGTTCCCTGACTTTTCTGTGCAGTACTGAACACCTAAGGGGAGCTAGCATGTTCCCAGGTACTTGTGTCCTGAACAACATCAGTGAATGCTAATCATCCCTTCTGCATTTGGTGCTCCCTTTCATCTTGGGCTGGCTACATCCCAGGTGGGTGCAGCTTCTGGCAGCATGCCCTACAACGTGGGTGTTGCTCTCAGAACAGAAGCGGAGGACTGCCAGATGTCCAGTGTCACCTGCCCAAAGGAAATTTTCCTTCCAAATCTCTGTGTGGATTGTTTCACCAGGTGACTGCGCTTGTTGTTGTGGTCTGCTGATGTGACCATGTGACAAAATGCACTGCTGGCTTCCGTGTTCAAGGGAAGTGGAATTTAACTTGCTCAGTTGTATTTTGCAGCTGCAAAGAAGGAAAAAAATAGAAGTAAGGGTACAGTACAGGATGGACCAACATATGTCTTATTTCCTGCATTCTGGCAGCACTCTTAGGAAGGAGGGACACAGCACCCTGGCAGTGACTATGGGCCAGATCCTCAGTTCAAGAGCTGCAGTCACGAGTGTAAAGAAAGCTCAAGTATTAGGATCATTTTAATCCCCAGGTGACTAAGGACCTTGCCTACAAAAGGCTGTTTGGTTCATAATGCAGCATGTTCATTTCACGGTGTTTCTTTTTCCTGCTTTCCAGGGGTAGTTGTAGATGGTCTTATAGTTTTCTAACATTTCTCAGCTTTTTTGGATAAAAAGCTTTTTTTTTTTTTTTATTTTTTTGATATCCTGTGCTTACTTACATGCTGTCAGACTTAAGTGAGATAAAAACATTGCTTGAGGACTAATTTCCTGCAACATCACCTTCTCATTCAAGGCTCCAAACTTCTCACACCAAAATATATCTGATGTCACCGATATGAAAGGGCCTGGGATGGTTCAGTATGTTCCTTTCCTCAGCCAACCACATCTGTCTGATGTGTTCAATAGAGAGGACTGGTTGTTCTTGACTCAACAAAAGGGATAGCTTATGTTATTTTGAGCTGGGTTGTCAGGGATGGCTGTTGACAAGACTTGAACTCAGTCTCCTTGAGCTTGGTGGGGTGGTTTAACTGCTTGTCTCCACACAATAAATCTGGTAGTCAGAGGCACAGCAAGGAGGTACAAGGAAGTTCTTTTAATCTTCACGAAACTTCATGGGTGAGGTCAAGTTCTTACCCTGTGATTCACCAGCAAATTTCGTCAGGTTTAAGAGGTGAACATCGGCTCCCTCATGCTTCTTTGTCAGTTCCCACATATCAGCATTCCTCCCTATCATGGCATAAGGGAAATGGATGTGACTCACACTTCACAGGTTTTAGGTAAAGCAGAGATCAGAACATAAGAGATGTTGAAGGTTGTGACCGTGTTACAAGTGGTGGGTCATTTCTCTCCTTAGGGAATCTGCTTAAATCCCTCAGAAAAGAGCAAAAAAGACCAAATAAAAAAAAAAAAAAAAAAAAGAAGGATTGTAAGGAAAGGAAAAGGCACTCCCATTTTCTGTGCATTACTCCACAAAGCTGATCTGCCAGGTTAGTTAAGATCTGCAGGGAGATTGTGGTTAGTTCTGGTGGCTGACTAGGCGCCAGTGCATTCCTTGCAGTGGGACTCAGGCCAACACCATTACACCATCAACTTTGAGGGATCACCAGCAGCACAGATTGACAACAGGACAGGAAAACACAACAGAGTTTTTGATACCTAGAAAAGGTGAGCTTTAGTGATAGTCCAGTTGTTCTTCTCACCACCATGACTGTCCTGGAAATATTAAAGTGTCAGCATGCCCTTTTGCTGTGTTTTTGGTCTGTAATAGAATGGCTGCTGTCAAAAGCAGCAGAATGTAAATATTTGTGGGGTTTTATAGTTTGGCATTTTTTTTAAAACTATAAATTCCCTTACTTCCTTTCTTCCTTCTCTTTAGCAAGAGGCTGTGGGTCATTAGTATCAATATCTCAGATCTCTCTCATGCCACACCTAAAATAAATTGTCAATAGGAGGTGTTGTAGAAGATTCACACATCATTCCAGAAACAGTAATATCTGTTGGGAAATGCAAAAACACCAGGTGCATAGCTGCTGGATAGAGTTTCCATTTACTTTACCTGGGGCTTTTCTGTAACATACAGTAATGTACGTCACATGCTGAAAAAAAAGTAGGTGGAAGGTTCTTTCCAAACCACATTGACTGAAAGAATGTACGTGTAAGGTAAGCTGTATGCTGACACGCTCATGTGTTCTGCAGAGGAAAGGGTTACCTTGTCAAGGAAGTCTTCCTGGTGCAGGTGTGCATCCTAGCAGATTCATTCAGAGACTGAGAGACGAGAATGAGCCCTCCCTCAACTGACATGTACAAACAGCCTTTTACCCATTTGTCTCCGAGGACATTTGCTAGCTGTCTCGTTAATCTTTTACCCAAAGTCAGACATATGTATTGATGGGAAAACAAACCATAGACCACAGACCCCCTGCCTTGCATTCCTCACCTCCTCAAAATAACACTCATCATAGAAGCGTGCAGACAGCACTGATAGCTCAGTGGGTTTGTAGCTGCATTTCCTTGCAGTTCTAAAGGACCCCTTCCACTGTTGTTCTCACAAGCTCTTCTTCTTACTTACTGTTTATACTGCTGAGTAACTACCTATGCCTTGCAGTCCATCACATCCCCTTCCTCATTTGCATTTTGCAGGTATCTAATTCCTTCTGTATCTCCGAACTTAAGGTGGCTGAAGAAACTGGGACTGGAATTTCTTCCTTTTAACACTAGGTCACAGCGTGCTCCATGCACCTCTTGCTGACCTTATAAAGGTTTTCAAACCACCATTAATTTTACTCTAACAGAGTAACAAAATTTAGAATCTGATCCTCTGCTGGTTGACTTGTTTTTAACTTTATTAAGAAGGAATAATAAACTTGTGAGCCAGAGCCACTAGCAGAGTACAGAAAGGGAAGTAATTTTAGGAACAGAAATATCTGTAAAGTTTAATCTCCAGTTATCTTGCCTCTGACTTCATCATCATCTGGTCCCAACACACTTTGTGAGCTAAACAGAGTCAGGTTAGCTCAGTACTGAAATAAAAGAGCCCAGAGGTGTTGTCTTAGTGGTGTTAAGTAGCGATCTTCTATCTTACCCAAGCAAGCAGATTCTTCTGCATCTTGCATCACTGCATTATCTGAGACTTTCTTGCATGTTTACCTTCAAGCTTGGTGGGTGGATTGGTTGGGATTTGTGGCAGAGGTTTTCCAATGCTAATTTTATTTTTAATAATATTTATTTTCTCTAACAAAGCTAAGCATACTCACATGTTGCATTGCATTTAAGTGAGCTCAAAATTTCTTTAAATAGTAATTATTTGAAAAGGAAGAATACCCTCCAATTCCTGTGAGAATATTGTTTATAAATATTTGTAATTTGCATCTCCGTAAATGAAAATTACCAAAGCAGAACAAGGATTTATTTTCAGTACTTTTTAATCTTATAGTTATGCTTTGTACTGTATGACATGGGATTGACCTTCATGGTACTGGATCCAGTCAGAATTCATATCTCACTCAAATCCACATTTGAACATTGTTTAGGGTGTTTGGTGAGGAAGTTTTAGCCTTTCTGTTTCAAATAATTAATATTTGTAGTGCTCAGCCTCAGTAAAATCCACAGAAACTCCAATAGACTCTGTAATCACTTCTTCAAGTGAAAACGTGTTCTTTAATAGGAATTTAAGTTTGATTCAGTGGTAGAACATCTCCTCTCCATTTCATTTTTCCCCTAAATATTCTTGTTTTTAGCTTTTAGGTTCCTTTTGCAAAAAATTATCAAAAAACTTTTTGCAGCACCTAGCACAAGGACACCTGGCTCATACTTTATTTCAGAATACAAATCACCACTTAAAAGTAAAAGCAGAAATAAGCTGTACAGACTATTGACTCTTCTCCAAGAGGTAGTCAGAGGTTTGTAATATCTAGTTCAGTTGACAGCCCAGGGAAGGGAAGTTCTGAAATCCAGTGTTGGTGATAACAGTGTGACCTTTGCTGTGTTGACCTACTAGTACCTTCAACACTGAAGCAAGAGCAAGTACTTCCACTGTAATTCAGTTGTCAATCCTGCACCATCCTTAATCTTGATGTGGAGGTCTGTGACAAAAGCACGTTCTGCTGTGCTGGTAGCAGTTTTTGGGGACTAGAAGGAAATAGCTGTTGTACTTGGAGACAAACAGTTAAATTATGAAGATGTTATTACTATACTTATAATAGAAACAGTCTATAATAATCTGGGACAGATTTGAGTTTATAAACCCATCCTGCAAACTACATCAGTCCTTCTCTAACTCTGGGTTCACTGAAGACATTGAAGTTCAACATGTAGTTTAAAGTGAAAATTGCATTCAATGTTGTCTTTTGTATAGATTAATTTGTTGGCTGGAAAGCAGTAAAGCTAAAAAGGAGGCTGAAAAGCTAGTGAAAGTGCTGTGGCAACTCACTGTAAATTTCTAAATCCCTGATGGAGGGACTACATCCAGTTGCTATTACTTCTCATACACTTAGATCAACGGGTAATTCTTTGGGGAGAGGCATCATTGTTTTGTTCTGAATTGTCTTCATGGTTGGTCTGTGACCATGCCTCCTGGGCTGAAAGACATTACAATAGAGATGGATCCTCTCCACCTTTGCAAGTGAATTGAGAAGGCCAGGTCTGGCTGCTGTGCCTTGGGTGAGCTGTGGGAGCAACTCCCATGCCTTCCTCCCTGTCACCCTGCTTACGGAGGCCCTGGAATGCAAAGGAGAGGTAGTGCCAGTGCATCTGCCAGCCTGTCCTGCCTGGCTGGGTTTCATTGTTCTTCTCCTAATTTCATCCAGTATTTCATTCATGGAACTGTAATGCAAAACGTAGCGTCCTGGATGATTTCTTGCTCTCTTACTTGGCCTCTGCGCCTTTGCTGGGGTCAGTATCCTCCAGATATCCACAGCCTACCACGCTCTCCTGCCTTCCCCTTCCGTTCCCCCAGCAGCTTGCTGTCCTTTAGCCAGGTTACACATATTTTTTCAATCCTGGTTGTTCATGGTCTCTGAGCACAAGGCTTAGCGGAGCGCTGTGCTGCCAGCGCTGCGAGACGCCCCAAAGGGAGCCTGGCTGTGGCTCTGCTGTTTTCACACCTCCGCGCAGATGGACCCAGCTCCCCTCCCCGGCGCCCCTGCGGGCTCCCTGCCCACCCTTGGCCTCTGCTGTCAGAACGACTTTGGCAACTGCCACTGCTGCATTGCATCACCGTGCATGGCTCCCAGGTGGCTGCAGCTTTCAAACTCGCCTATCAGCCTGTCTATCTGCTATTAGGTTCTTATCTTGCCTGTCTATCCAGAGTATCTACTTCTGGGCTGCCTTTGCAGCTTTAATTGCAGTTTGAGCACGGCAGCACTGGGATGTGGGTGCTAGGTCAGCAAACATAAATCCCATGGTTGTTCAGGCTTGGTCCACACTTCTATGGCACTGCAGGAAATGGAGGTTCAGCAGGCTCAAGAACACGGGAAGTAAAGCAAGCGCAGCACCGACAGCAACTGCTGAGGGAAAGGAGCAGCGCTGCTAGCAGGCACCACTGGGGAGACGCCAGCTTCCCCCCTGTGATTTATATGGGGTTTACAGCGGGGTGGGGCCAAACAGGGCTGGTAGGAAGCAGCTCACAGGGCTATGTGGGATTAGTGAGGAGTAGACAGAAGCAGCACAGGACTGGGCAGGGGACCTGCTTGTGGGACGGCTCAGCCACAGAGGCAGCTGGCACTGGAGTGCTGATAAGGAGGAGAAACAGATGGCCACGCAAGCCCTTACACATGCCTTCCTGGTAGGCCTGCTGAAGGCTGGTCCACATCCCTTATTCCCCAAACAAAAATACGTCTTTTCCTTTCCTTGGTTTGAAGATTTCATGTGGCTCATTAAAGTTTGCTGCCATAAACATGCTCTTGCAGTCTTAGCACAGTTCATTGCTGCTGCTTGTGAATGACACAGGATCAGTCCCATTTATGCCCCTACTGCGCTGTTGTGACACAGTTACAAAGCCCTTTCTTTAGTGCTGCGAGTCTGAAAAGTTAAAGAAAAACAGGAAAAATTATAAAAGAAGGAGACATAGCAATTATGTAAAATATCCAAAAACTAATTCCAGAACTGGCCTTGATACCAAGGGAAGCATGCAGCAACTCCTAGGTGTGCAGAAGGTAACATGACACTGTTAAGCGAGATTTGTTTAAGCTGTGTTCCGTATATTGGAGGTCAGAGTGGTGTGGTGGCATGTGCCAGTTGCTGTGGAAGCCTTTTGGCTGCATGACAGAGGGGGAAACCTTTTGGCTGTATGGCAGAGGGCAGAAGGTGAACAAGCCCTGGTAGTAGCTAGGTACTGGAGGCAAAGCTCCAGCATTTGGTATCCTCTCCCTACAGCAATGAACATTGCTTGCAGGCTTGTGTTATGCAGCTCTGTCTATTCTCCATTACTACAGAGCCACCATGGGGATGAGGTTTGGAAAAAGCACAGAATGTTTCTAGTAGTGCAGATGTTTTCAATGAATTCACCCTTCAGAACTGAAAGCGAAGGAGGCCTGGAAGGGGAAGAGTGTTTGTAGTGAAAAATATTCGGCTCATCCATATGTAGACCCAATGTGAGCCTGGAAGACACTGAGTGCTCCCTGTGAAGTGACAAGTGCCCTCAGTCTTCACTAAAGTTTTGCTGAAGGCAGTGGGTATGTCTGCATAGCAGTGGCAGCAATGACTGCTTTTTGGCTGGGTAAATTAGCCTTTGTGGCTGCGCTTCGGCTCCTACAGTATGCACGCTTCAGTATCTCTTTTAGAGGCTTGTCTGATGAAAAGGGAAAACATTCAGCATCTTGCCAGATCAGGGCCTGGATTTTGAAATGTTTTTGTAGGTTAAAATGAGAATGCATATGCATGGGCTTGTTTTCAGGCGAACTGAGCACTTGTAGCTTACAGAGTTGGGTGTAAATTTTAGATTTTCTGAGTCTCAGAACATTTTTTTCTCCTGATACTATCCTTATTGCCCTTACCTCCACCTCCTCTGCTGGTATATAGTATTTTAGCTGTGTAACTGTACTATTTAAAGCATTTATGATACCATTTGTTTGGGAAACAGTATAAATCTGCTCTATGCTATTTAGGAGTTTGCACTGCTACTCAGCAATGGAAACCCCTGAGTAACTTCCATGTAAAATCAATCAACAATAGTGGAATAGTATCAATCAATCTAGTGGAAGGGCTGTGAATGCCACTCAAAATAAGGCTCCCTTTCATCCATGAAGGCCTTGTCTCAGCCAGTGAACTGGAATCTGGCCTTTTTCACTCACCATGAAATGTCTGGATATAAATTTACTCTTTTAACATCCTACAAAAAAAAGGTTGCATGATCCTCAGCCCACTCTGCCACAACTTTCACATTTTAGAGAAGTGATAGAGATGGAAAATTTGTGTGAGGACCCTTGTCACTGGGTGACCCTTGTCACTAATTCTGTGGAGTATCAACAATTGTAATCTTATGTGAACAGGGTTTCAAGCATTACAATATTTCTGGAAATATTTAAAAAGGTGCCAATGTTTATACAGAAAGGTGGATACAGCTTTAGGTCTATATATCTGGACTTTTGATGCCCTCCCTCCTTATCCCCACATCTGTTTCCAAGAATGTCATACCTGGAAAGAATCATTTCAAATTAATTCAATTTGTTTCAAAGCAGCCTAAGCTTCATCCCTCACAGGGGCCACTCAATCATATTACTGCTCCTGTGAAACTCCTAATGGGACACAAAACAAGTAGAAGTAGATTCAGGTGATCTCACATATTAAACATACTAATTACATCTGGCAGCAAAATGACTTTGTGCATTTTCTTTAATCCGGTTTTTAAATTAGGCCATATGTATTTTGGCTGTAGATTTCACGTGCTCTCTTTCTACAAACTTCCTTTTAACCATGTCCTGTGGCCAATTCATATCCAATTTTTGAAAATCAGTCTTAGGTGATAACTGGATCATTGCATATGAAGTGTCTAATTCTGCTTTCAAATCAACCTGTTCCTTTGAAAATCTTAGTGAATATCTCACACAAGAGGTTCAAATCTGAACTGATATGATTGCCCCTGTTAAAAACCCAAATGTGCTGAGTTTCTGTGTTTTATGGGAAGTGTTTCCTAGAGGAAAACTAGCTTTAGAAAAATGGGGATTCTTGCTTTAAATCAGCAGTAGTTTTCACTTTGCTACTTTATAGTTTTTCCTGTGGGGAATATGGTCTTATTTATGTGTTTTGCAGTGACATGCTGACTAACAAGATTAACAAGGGACGTACTGACTAACAAAGGCTCCTTCCTGATGTTCGCTTCTGTACAATCTTGATATTTAACCCACCATGTAGAAAGTTGGGTTTGCAGCTCAAGGAATCTATGTTACTAGCCAAAATGTTACTGGTCAGTTTCTGCTTGAATAAATATTCATCACTGATGGGTGCACACTTTAACTTCACAAAGCCAAAGCTCCTTGTGGTATCCAGGATATACAGTGGTACCTGAATGAACTCTTTTAGGGGATGGGAGGAAATTCTGTGTTACTTCTGGGGCCCAAAACATGGACACGTTCATGTCTCATCTTCCCTGTGGTACACTATACTTTTTATCTATTTCAGGTGGGGTGTGGGTGGGACAGCGAAAATGTTCACAGTGTTTATAGGCCATTCTGGGCAGAAACATCTATTTATATGATTTTGGAGGGACTGAACTTGGTGAGCGAGGTGTCCCTGCTCCTCCTCATTTTATGCTGCACTCTCCTGACTGCACCAGTGGCATAAATATGCAATAATACAATCTATAGTAGCACTGTTTTCACATAATAACAAGGGCAGAAAAATTCTTTCCTGGAGCCAGCTATTTAGTGGGTGTAATCTGTTAAAGTTCTGTCAAATTACACAGGACTTCATCAGTTCACTGCAGCAGCATATTTGGCCACTTTTGTTCCATCAAGGACTAGTGGATGGGAAATTTACCTACACATACACAGAGACACAACAGTGCTCACCCAGAGAACACAGTACCATGGACTCACCAGAGCTCCTGTTTTGCTAGGATGACAATCTGGTCTGCTGAAGTGAGTTTGTGTTAGCACAGTTCTCTTGATCTCTGTGCACTTGGTGACTCTTCCACTGGGCACTAATGTTGGAGAGCAAGGAAAAGCTGCCAGTGATACATGTTTGTGGTTTGCAGACATGCACATAGTGCAGAGAAAATAACTGGCACTGTTGAATAAATGTCCTATCTGCAGAGGTGTGAGGTAGTCACATTACTCAAAAGTGTGCTGAAATGATTGATGTTAAAAATGTTATACCACTGTACTTCACACAGTGCACATTAAAGGAAAGCCAAGTCAGGGCATATTAAATTTTATTGAGAGTGGGTTTTGCAACTTTTTAAGAGGCCATGTGCCATGCTTCCTTTTTAGGATCCAACTACCAAAATTAAAACCAGTAAATCTTTCTAAAAATAATCTGAGAAAAACTTTCCCCTGTGTGAAAATGAAGCATGCTAATGTCCTTGTGTGCCTTAATTTTCCATAAAAATATTGCCTTGTTGGAAAGCACAGTCTATTCCCCTTGCACGATACTAAACTCCATGTATCACCTCTTCACCTTGTTGCTAATGGTGTAAAACTGGATGTGACCAGTCCTGGTGCTCAAGCCAGTAACATTCCCAGGGATGGGAGGACACTTCCCACTAATGGAGGCAGAAGACTCTGACTGCAACAGACTGCCTGAAGAAGTGAACGGGATTTGGACTACTAAATTTGGGGAAGATGTAGTTGTGGGAAGATGAAGGATTTAAAAGTCAATCAGATACAAATATATTGCATGGGTTTTAATGAGGAATGTGTGCTTTGTGGGCATAGCTGTATGCATACTCACTGTTTGCATTCAGTGAGCAAAGACACATGTGAAAGGTGTTTGCATAACATGAATGGGAAGTAGGTAGGGTTGTTCTTTATCACAGTCATCCTCTTTCTGTTTATATATATATAATTTACATTTATTGCAAAATATTATATATTCAGAATGCAGCATATGTTAGGCTCACTATTTCACTACTGTATGTTGAATTCTTGGGGAGAGATGGACAGGCAGTAAAATTTAGCAGGATCATGGGGAAGTGATAATTTCCAGTTAAAGGGGCATGTAGTTTGCATAAGCAATAAGGAAAAAGGTTATCTTATTGATTCCTTCTGTGTGTACTTGCAGGCAGAAACAGTGGTGCTATTCAGATATTTTAAGACTGTGCCTTTGTGTCTTTTTCTACATCTAGAAAGTGCCCTGCCCAATTTGTGCAACTCTAGTTTAAACAGAAGTGACCATTTCTGCGTGACCGTGTCCATTTCATAGGGCCAGGGAGAGATGAATGTGGAGGGAAGCTCCTTTACTGATGCTGGCTAGAACCAAAATGTGAAGACATGGGTGAAAAGGGCAACCCTGTGTGAACTCAAATAGCTTTCCAATCTCTTAAAATTGCTCAGCCTAGATAAAATTGTGAGATGTGAACTGCAAGTGCAGGCGGGAAGCTTAATGCTTTCTGGAAAAAGTAATGAGTGAAGGCTGCAGCAAAAACCAGAACAGCCCTTCCTCCCCTCAGCCCACTCTGCCCAAATGAGCACTTTCTCTGCAACTATTGGCAGTAATAAATAATCTTCATCTAAAACATCTCTTGTTACAGCTTTTATTGTATTGGCTAAGTGTGTAACAACCCAGTGCTGTACTAACAGTTTTGTGCTGATAAAAACCCAGTCAAGTGAAACACAGAAAATATTTTTTTAAAATGCATTCTGAAATGCTTTCTTGCAGTGCTAAAAGCAGTTTACAGGAGATGTTGAAAACTAAGTGCAAGGTGTAGACACCATGTGTTTACTTTTTAGGACTGGGGTAATACTTAGAAAAATCTTTGCTTTTGAAACATATTTCAAATGGAGGACCAAATGCACTGCTGTGTACCTTGCAAGTTCCAGCGGAGCAAAGGGAGCTGGACCTGTTTCCACCAGGAGCTGGTGCAATCACAAGCAAACCTTGATGTGTTTTGCTGACATCAGTGGGATATGCCATGAACTGCTCTAGGAGCTAGAGCCAGGCCTCCACAGTGGCCGGGGCTTCTCAGGGAACTCTTTATGTTCATCTGTGCTACTTCTGCCCGTTTCAAAAACTGCGGCCAATTAGCTGTAAAAACAGATGTTCCCGTGATATTTCTCTTCCTCTAAAGGTTACAGGCCAGATTGCTCTTGGTGCTTGCATGGCAAAAAGGCAGGAGGTGGAGAAGAGGGGAAGGAGCAAGAAACCTTAGCTAGTATTTGCATACCTACTGAGACACAAATATGGAGGAATGAAGAAGAATCAGGTTCTTTTGTGAGTAACAGCCCTTACGTCAGGGAGGACAGGGGGAGGGCTGGGGGAATGGAAGGGTGTTCTTTTCTCTGCAGCATCTCGGTACCCAGAAGCCTAAGAAAGTCAGGCACACAACAGCAATGCAGTTCCTCAGTTTTCACTTCATCCCACTCCCTCAGGCACAGGTAGTTTTGGGAGTTAACCTGAGCATTGAGAAGCAACTCACCCCATCACTCTTCAAGTAGAAGACATCAGCTGGCAGAGTCCCAGGAGGTGTGCAGGAAGGGCTCTCTGTGCTGGTTGTAGAGGGAGCTAAGGAAATGTGCCTCTCCGAGGTGCGGACAGCCACTGCTGCCTGCACGAGGTCGACCTCGGAGCAAGGCAGAGGGCAGCCCTGCAGTGCTCCCCGCACTGCTGTGCCTCCCACGGCCGCCGGACACTGTCCTTGGGCTGCTGCACGGTGTGGACACTCACCTAAGCCTTGTGCTGGGGCATCTTTCCGAGGCTTCCTGGGCTGCTCCCTGCTGACCCCGGGTAGTTCAGCTGCCTCCTCGGGAGATCCGCCTGCTTGACGCCTTGGAGTCGTCCGCCAATTCCTCCCTTGTCACCACCTCTTTTACTCTGTGTGTGGCATCAGAGCAGCCAGCAGGATGTAACTATAGACTCAGAGTATTTAGGGCTGTCGCTGCTGACCAGCACTACAGTAGGTTGACTCACAAAGGACAAGCAATTCTTTTTTTTTTTTTTCCCCAATGCAGTTTTTCAGGCTTAAGTTTATGTAGTGGACAAGGAGTACTGCTTAACTAGAAAAGCTGCTCTAAGAGAAAGTTTCCTCATTTTATTTTGTGGTGGGGGAAAAAAGTTTGTTCATGAAATATGACAGGGAGGCCAGAATCCCCTTGCCAGGGCTGGTGGGACATGGCAGTGGTGTGAGCCAATATGAGCGAGGAGACAGCCTTGGGCACTTCTGTACTGTGAGGCTGGTGAAACTTTGGATCCCCTCCTGACTGCAGATCTTTACAGCAGCATTCCTTGTGTGACAAGCCTTTTTCACATTTCCCCATTCAGCTGATTGTGGGTGCTGTGCTATTTTAAACCCACATGGAAGTATGTTTTTAGGACCATCTGCTACCGGCCCTAACCCAGATGATACAGTTAGAGCCTGCCCACAGCATCCTCCCCTCCTTCAGACAGTTCCAGGAACAAGCAGTGAGTCAGTCCCACAGCTGAACTCATATTTAGCTAACCCTGATATCCTGCCTATCGGAGAGAAATGCACAACGGCCTTCCCAGGTGCAAAGCCCCGTTGTTCCCATTATTTAGAGAATGCATGGAATTTAAAAAAAACCCCACCA